CATTTTTTTTTTTTTTTTTTTTTTTGAGACAGAGTCTCACTCTGTTGCCCAGGCTGGAGTACAGTGGTACAATCTTGGCTCACTGCAACCTCCACCTCCCAGGTTCAACCAATTCTCCTGCCTCAGCCTCCCAGGCAGCTGGGACTACAGGCACCTACCACAATGGCCAGCTAATTTTTTATATTTTAGTAGAGATGGGGTTTCACTGTGTTGCCCAGGCTGGTCTGAAACTCCTGCGCTCAGGCATTCTGCCCTGCCTTGGCCTCCCAAAGTACTAGGATTATGGGTGTGAACCACCACACCCAGACTATACTTTTTTTTTTTTTTTTTAAATTGAGACAGTCTGGCTCTGTTGCCAGGCTGGAGTGCAGTGGTGGATCTCGGCTTACTGCAACCTCCACCTCCCTGGTTTACGTGATTCTCCTGCCTCAGCCTTCTGAGTTGATGGGATTACAGGCATGCACCACTACGCTAATTTTTGTATTTTTGGTAGAGACAGGGTTTCACCATGTTGATAAGGCTGATCTCAAACTCTTGACCTCATGATCCTCCGAAAGTGCTGGGATTACAGGCGTGAGCCACCTCCCCTGGCCTGAATGCCTCTAAGATTATTACTTTATCTACTGTTACTGTAAAGCCTGGCCTTAGGTCAAAACAACCTTGACCATAAACCCTGCCCTTATGTAGCATTCTTGCCTTTCCCTAGGGGATAGACATCAGTTGTCTTCCACATTCCTTTCCTGTGGTATATAAGCCCTGTGTGTGGTGGGGAGCAGCACAGGAATCCGCTGTCTGGCCTCACTGCTGTCTGAGACATGGCTTCTGTTTGTAAGTCTCAATTAAATGTTTCTTTTAGAGAGACTGGATGTGTCAGCTTAGCTTCCTTGAACTTGGCAGGTAGGGGTGCATAGACCTGCCCATTGCAGAACACAGAGATGTTTGGGTCATCTTTCTATAAATTTTAAGAAACTCAGAATGAATGAATATTAAGAACTATTGCTGTGTATTATCTTTATAATTTTCCATTCTAATATGTTCTGTTTTGGCAGGGGAATTTGGAGAGTGTGGAAGAGAATAATAGAAATTTAGAATATATTGCCATGCTTTTCTAGTTCCCTTTAGGTGTAAGACTATTTTAAATGTAATTAATAATTGTAACTATCAAATGAAGTGATATTTCATACATTCATTCTCAACTACTAATTTTTCCCCCATCAAATTAGAATTAAACTGATCAGTATAAATTTATCACTAAAAAAGCTGAGTATAGGCCGGGCACAGTGGCTCATGCCTGTAATCCCAATACTTCAGGAGGCTGAGGTGGGCAGATTGCTTGAGGCCAGGAGTTTGAGACTAGCTTGGCCAACATGGTAAAACCCCATCTCTGGTAAAAATACAAAAATTAGCAGGTTGTGATGGTACATGCCTATAGTCCAGCTTCTTGGGAGGGTGAGGCAGGATAATTGCTTGAACCAGGAGGCAGAGGTTGCACTGAGCTGAACTGGAACCACTGTACTCCAGCCTGGGTGGCAGAGCAAGACTCTGTCTCCAAAAAAAAAAAAAAAAAAAAAAAAACTGAGAAAGCTGAGCATGGTGCTGTTACTCTCTTGCAGGGTTTTTTGTTTGTTTGTTTGTTTGTTTCTTAATGAGAGACAGGATCTCACTCTGTCATTCAGGCTGGAGTACAGTGGTGCTGTGGGATCATAGTTCACTGTAACTGTGGGCTCGTAGAATCAATCTGACAGCCTCAGCCTTGCCACCATGCCCCACCTTCTAGGTCATTTTACCACCTTTTGATATCACCTCTTTGCATGAAAACATTAACATTAATTAGTAATGTCTTAGCTTCCAGACAGTATCTTTTCTATGTTATTTGGCATTGCATACATGATACTTTAAATTTACACTAAAAAAAGACAATACTAATTTTCAAGGAGAAATTAAAATATTTTGTGAATAGAATCTTCTAAGTAATTTACATCTTGGCTTGAATGCAGTTTAATGACTATTTTCTATAAATTATGAAACTATTATTTATGTTTATTTCTTACTGATCTTTGCTCTTTTATTTATTTACTTTTAGAGAAAGGGTTTCACCATGTTGGCCAGGATGGTCTTGATCTCCTGACCTCGTGATCCGCCCACCTCGGCCTCCCAAAGTGCTGGGATTACAGGCGTGAGCCACTGTGCCCGACCTGCTCTTTTATTATAACTTGTCATGAGTTCTGCCTGGTACTTCCTGTTTGGTTTATCTGAGTGTGTGTGTATATATATATATGTATTTCTGAGATGGAGTTTCACTTTTATTGCCCAAGCTTGAGTGCAATGGTGTGATCTTGGCTCACTGCAACCTCCGCCTCCTGGGTTCAAGCAATTCTCCTGCCTCAGCTTCCTGAGTACCTGGAGTTACAGGCGCGTGTCACCATGCCTAGCTAATTTTTTGTATTTTTAGTAGAAACAAGGTTTCACCATGTTAGCCAGGCTGGTCTCGAACTCCTGACTTCAGGTGATCCACCCGCCTCGGCCTCCCAAAGTGCTGGGATTACAGGCGTGAGCCACCACACCGGACCCTGAGTAAACATTAAATTCAGTTGATTGTTCCTGAAGACGGAGCTGTCTCTTTGGGCCATGCCTCTGAGATTGGTGGTGGAAGGAGGCCCAGGCTGGATCCAGCAGAACCAGCCATTGTCACTTGTTAGTGTAGCCTTGGGCAGGTGGCTTAATTAGAATGCCTTAATTCTCTTTCCCATGGTGACTGAGAGTGAAAGTGGTGACCGTGTGTAAAGTGCCTGACGTGAGGGCTGTGTTACTTTCTCCTGTTCCCTCCTCACTCCTTCTAAAAATTCAAACACACGTGGACTATGTCCACATGTACTGAGGCTTTGTTAGGTTAGTCTTTATGAGCTGATAGCAGATTAGTTCTTTATTCGATCAGTTGTAACCAGTCATAATGAGACTGCTTTGACCTTTTACACGGCCCAGTTAGTCAACTGTTCATCTTAGACCTGGTTTTAATTAAAACAACCAGAAACCTATATGCTGATAGTTCTGGTTTAATAATTCTTGTTAATTTTATTCACCATGGAACCAGAAATTTATATTCCCAGTATGAAGTGATTTTCACTTAGATAATTTTTTATTCAATCTTTGTAACTATTTTGTGAAGAAAACCACCTAATGTACTTATTTTGGATTTTCCTGTTGGTGAAAACGGTTTGTGCATACCTTTGAAGACTATCCTGTGTGAATTGAAAATGCAGATTAGCTGTATCATAACACTCACTGTAACCATGCGTCTTGCTTGTGGGTCTGGCCCCGAGCTGTGGGATGCTCAGTTATGTTTTATCCCAGTTTCAGATCAGAAATAGTGCTCATCCTTGCTAGAAACTGTTCCCTTGTAGCAAAGTTCAAGTCCTCAGGGAGAGAGCCAATCACCCTGGCTCCTCCTACCTTCAGTTCAGCAGAGAGCAAGGCTTAGTATATGCAAATGTGACCTTGGTTTTGTGGGGTAAATCTTGTTTATTTGTGTTGTGGGCTTTGTTTTTTCTTTCTTTCTTTTGTTTTCTCTCTTGGAAAAGCTCAAGCCTCACACAGGTGATTTTCCCCTGGTACTTGATGGTCTACACAGTTTCATTTCATCTTGTCACACTTAGGGAATGACCAATCTTTCAATGTGCCTGAAAGGACTAACCTAGGAATTATTAGCTACGTGCCACTTATCAACGAGGTACACTTTGATAGACTTTTTATTGCTTATGTCAACAGCTTCTGAAAATCTAATCTTCTGTGTTTTTCTCTGTCTCCAGGCCTCTCCAGGCCTGTTGTTATTATCTTATGCAGCTTTTATTTTTCTTCTATCTAGCTAGCTTCTACCAGGCTATGAGCGGGACTTTCATTGCTTTGGACCAGAGGTCACAGCTCTGGTTTAATCCACAAACCTTCGGTACTTTTTTTTTTTTTGAGATGAAGTCTCACTCTGTTGCTCAAGCTGAAATGCAGTGGTGCAATCTTGGCTCACTGCAACCTTCACCTCCCCGATTCAAGCGATTCTCCTGCCTCAGCCTCCTGAGTAGCTGGGACTACAGGTACACGCGACCATGCCCGGCTAATTTTTGTATTTTCAGTAGAGATGGCTTTTCACTGTGTTGGCCAGGCTGGTCTTAAGCTCCTGACCTCATGACCTGCCTGCCACAGCTTTCCAGAGTGCTGGGATTACAGATGTGAGCCACTGCACCTGGCCACCTTTGGTACATTTTTAAGCTTCTGACTGTTTTCTGAATTTTTTTTTTTTTTACTTCTAATTATATCAAGTATTTTGTATGGTTTTTTTTTACTCTCAGCCTTGTGGAGGTTCTGCATTATAGTTCTTATAACTGATTTCTATTTAATTATTTTGCATTTACTCCCATAGTTTGTAATCTACATTTTATTTCTTTAACAGAATGTTAAAATAAATTAAATGGCTGGGTTCAGTGGCTCATGCCTGTAATCCCTGCACTTTGGGAGGTCAAGGCAGGTGGATCTCTTGAACCCCAGAAATTTTGACCAACCTGGGCAACATGACGAAACCCCGGCTTTACAAGAAATAGAAAAATTAGCTAGGTGTGCTGTTCCACCTGTATTCTGAGCTACTCGGGAGGCTAAGAGGTGGTAGGATCACCTGAGCCTGGGAGGTCAAGGCTGCAGTGAGCCATGATTGCACCACGGCACTCCAGCCTGGGCAGTGGAGTGAGACCCTGTCTCCAAAAAAATGATAAGTTAACAAATTGAAAATAAATAGTGAATCATATGTTTTAGAGCTTAGTGATTTAACCGATGACATCTCATTTGACAACCTTGTGGAGAAGAATCCTTCATTTATTTATTCCATAGATTTTTTTTTTAAACATTACTAGGTACCAGACACTATACTAGATCCTAAAAATATGAAGTGAACAAAACTGGCCAAGATGTCTGACTTGTGGGACTTGCATTTAATGAAGGAAGAAAGAGAATAAACAGTCAAATTAAGTTACATACCGTATTAGCGATAAGCGCTAAGGAGAAATGTAAGGGAGAATGGGAAATTGGAAACATGGGAGGGAGTGGAGGAGATGGGGCCAATATCTCATTTTGGATAAGGCTGCGCCTCACAGGACAGGTGGTGTCTGGATCAAGCCCGGCCTCTGAGGGAGCGAGCAGAGCAGCCAGCCCGGGCCAAGCATTTCGGGAGGAGGAAAGAAGAAGGGCAGAGGCCCCTAAGGCTGGAGGGAGGTTGGGTGGGAGGACTGGGCAGCAGGGAGGCCCTTGAGTCTGGGGTGAGCTGAACCAAGGGGACGGGCGTTGGAGGTGAGGTCAGAGAGTGCATGGGAAGAGGCTATTGTTCCTCCTTTACAGGGAGAACACACACACACACACACACACACACACACACACACACTGTCAGAATGGACTTGGTGGAGGGAGTTCCTCAGGGTCATGGAGCTAGAAAGGGGCAGAGCGAGGACCAACCAGGACTAACCTGCACTGGGAGCCCAGGCGCGGGCTGGGGCCTCCCACTCAGGTGTCATTCTGGCTCGAAGTAGCTGATGTTTTATTTCTCACTTTGCTCACCTTTCCGTCTTTGGAGAGTAGAAAGCGTATTTGTTTCTAGAATTCTGTGAAGAAAAATCAGTCATTTATATTTTAACCTCCATTTTGAAGAATAAGTGATATTTCAAAGGGAAAAGGCAGGGGTCGGTATCCATCACATATTTTTGACTTCAGTCTTAAAACCTTGGGAGAGTTTGGAACGCAAGAATTCTTTAGAGGACACAAAAACCTTCACAAAATGATGATGCTGTCTGCTT